TGGTGTTATTTTATAAAAACAGGAAAGTAGATGTCATCGCTCGACGGAAACTGCTGAATAATTAAAAGAGCAATAAACAAATGGGAAAAGTAAATAAAAATAAGCATTTTTGTTTTACGTTGCAGAGAGTTTATGGAATAGTAGTCATTTAAAATATCTGAAATAATATTTTTATATCAAATTGGTATATTTCATCTTCAACATTGATATTATCATCATTATTTAATGATAAAAAAAATTCATTTAACGATTGATTAAAATAAAAATTTGATCAATTTATTGATCGATTAAAATTATAATAAATGATTAATTTAATGCTAAATAAACAATTTATATGAATTTATTTATCCATATAGATTTCTTTATATTAATATTGAAATTAGCTTTAACACTGAAATCACCTAAACCTTTAATTTTAACCTTTTTAACTGAAATCATCTCTTAATCTTAATGTACACATTTTGATACTTCCCAATGGATTTTAAATGCATTAAAAATTCAAAGATATGTTTTCCGCAAATTTGATCATTATTAAATTGATTACCATAATCTCATATTTAATATAATGACTGAATCTCGTGAATTTCGGTATAAGTACTTATATCAATTTCAGAAACATTGAATCTCTTAATTTATATCAACTGGGATATATCTCTGGGAAACTTCTACAGTTTATTGTTAACTCACTCAACATTTGCGATTTATATAAAATATCAGCAGTGTTTGTTTTAAGTAAAAGTTAATTTTTCTTGTAAAGATAAAAAAAAAAAATTAAAAACTTACAAGAAATAGTGATTACGTATATATTTTGTAATAACCAAAGAAAATGAAGTAGCAGCTAAGCCAATGTATAAGAAACATGCTTGGTGAAAATTAGTTTCTGAAGCATATAATGTAAAAATAGCACCACAAAAAAACTTCTTTTTATAAAAAAAAAAAAATCTTTTACGGCTCTTTAAAAAAAAAGTTACAGCTAAAAAATTGCAACATTAAGTTAAGTGACTAATTTACGTAATATCATCACATGGGATTTAATTACAAACGTATATCGTCTTTTACTTCCTCTCATTAAATAAATGTATTCGTAAAAGCTTAACTAATTTCTTGTTATGTGATCTCTAAATTATAAGAGGAGACTGTGGTTAAATTGTATATCTAATTGTATTGGATTAATCAATATTTTAAACTTATTCCAGCCTTAAAGTTAATTTTTGTTTTAGTTACAGAAACTAAACCAGAGGGTTGCATTTATTATTCCTATAACAAGCTATAATTTACAGTAAATAATTGATATTTGTGAGGTAAGTTACACATTTCTTCATAGAAAATAATTGTTAACTCGATGCATTGAAAGCAATTGTTATTTTTTTATATTTTGGTTCAATTGTTTCCCAATGCATAAAGGAGAATTCGACCTCTAAATTTATTTTTAAAAAAATTATTTACACTATTTACAAAATTAACACAAAATTATTTTTAATCGATCAGTGCAAGACAAATCAGACTTTTAATAAACGTAAGATCATGATATATATACGTATAGAAAAGACAACTAAGTAATTACCTATTTTAAATAATAGGAACAATACAAAGTTTTTTAGATGCAAATGTAACTGTATAAAGCTAGGCGTCCGTTTTTTTTTTGTGACCTTTATTACCCTCTTTTATGCAGTTAGCATCAATAAAAACTTTACCGTTTAATTTGTTTGCATAGAAATAAATAAATGAAAAACTAAAGGTCTATTGTAAGGACTTTATGGTGGATATGACAAAACATCCTATTCTAGGATTTTCGAAGAGAGGCCAAAGGTGTATGGGGTTTTGTTTTATCTTGTTAGAATACAACATCCCTACGATGTCAATTATCCCCGGTTTATAACAACATCACTCAGTTTAGTGATATGCTGAATACAGACGTTTGGATTAACAATTCGTTTATTGGTAAAAGTTCAGAATACAAAGTTTCCTTATGTCCCACCAAACCGAACGCAAAATTCTATCTTAACTTGTGATGTCGTCTGACGCGTGGCTTATCCTGCGTTATCTGCTATCTTTTCGATTAACGTTGTCATAAGCGTTCCACTTTTCGTGGCCAGTAATCAGTTGTTTCAGAAATGGATTTTCCGTTACATTTTATAAGTAAATCGCAGCATTACGTCCAATTCTTAAATTGACAAGGATCTATCAAAAGAGTTTCTTAACTTAGACAAGATATTTTCTATATTTTTTCAGTACATATATGGAACACTGAAATTATTTGCAATCTCACGATCTTGTACTATGACGACTTAATTGGATAATTGTCTTGATATGGCTCTTATCAATTTGAACTGGGTGGCTGGCTAAGTGCGAAATTTTGAGAGAAAAATCGCCAGAAATAAATTTAGTAAACCAATTTTAACACTGGCTTTCTTTTAAAGCTTCGCTCCAATATGTGGCACTTAACTTTTTGTATACTTGCAATGCGTCCCTACCTTTTTTAAAATAATGCAATAAAACATGTCTGAAATGAGCGTTTTGGTTCTATTTTAGAGCTGAGACTAAAACAAAACTAAATAGATTTAGTAATCTTATCAAGCGTTAAATTATAAATTTGCCAAATTTTTCAAGAAATGAATGATTAATTTAAGTAATTGCTGTAACCTGTTTACAACTCATGGATAATCTGATATAACTATTTCCAAAACCATTTTATATTCACAAACATAATTCCTCGTGAAAGGACTGTATTTGAATTATACAATTTAATAAATAAATATTAATAATAGAATACACAAAATCGAAAATTTTCCTCATGTTCTGCAACAGTATGATTTCATTAAAGGTACAAAAGTGATTAATTAAAAAACTATGAAAATGTATACAATTAGTTTTTTACAATAGGAATTATTAAAACTATCGATAATGTATAACTAAAATGTGTAATATAAATTGTAATGTGTAATATAAATTATTGATAATGTATATTATTAATGTAGACTTTTAATGTAAAATGATATTTTTTCTGTAATTTTTTATCAAAAGTTTTATCATTTTTACTTTTTCAAAATAATGTTACACATTGCATTTACTTTGTTTTTCTTAAATAACATTTCGTTCTAATGTTCTCTTTAAATCTTTTTGTTAATATTTAAAATTAAAGAATATTTTTCAATTTTAATGATAATGATTTAATATAGAAATTGAAACAGTTTTATCAAGATAGATAGAAAATTCACTTGTTAGAAGAAGTGCAAAAAGTGATATTCAATGAATGACAGTGAAAAAAAGTCTCTCGTTTACCGTTCATCACTTTATTTTTCTTAAGTTATTTTCATTTTCATATTTTCATATATGCCAATTTCAGCCTTTTTGAGGAAAAGAAATATTTGATACATTCTATGCACTAAAAGGATTTATTTTTCTTTTAAGGATAAACATTGCAATGAATTTAAATCATGCAAACCTATTTGATACATTTTTTTTCACTTAAATTTTCTACTTATGAATTGAAGATAAAAAAAAAAAAGGTTTAGAAGTTTAAGAAAATATTTCATTTTCTGTAAATTTATTTTCCCTTCAGATTCAATTCAGTTAGCAAGTGTCAAAGTTAGAAATATTCCTTGAGGGTTCTGTAAAGAAAATCGAAATCCTAAGAATTTCGATTCGATCAGACGTCATTATACCACTGACGCTTTAGGCTTGTTTTTTTCTGGATTCTCGAACAGATTTATCTCTACCAGGTGGTCTCAATAGAATTAGAAATAACTTGAGATTTTTACAGAGGTCTCTTTTGTAAAATATACTGGATATCTGAGTTTTGGAAAAAAGCCCCTACACTTTAATGCATTTGTATTGGATTTAAAGATTGCCTGTTAATTCAAGCAGTTTTACTGACGGAGATAAAATTGTTTTCTTTCAGTTCCAACTATTAGTTCACTCTATGCATATAAATATATATAATCTTGTTCAAATTTTCAATCGCTAATAAAATAATTTCTATTCATCGAATCAAGTTCAGATTTTTAAACTTGTAGTGGCTAGTACTTGGTGTTAATATAGTTTTTTCAAATATTAATTCATTAATTAAAGTAAAAATGAATAAATAATAACAAACAAAAATAATAGTCCAACAGCAGATGTAGAAAGAAAAATCATTCGATGTGTCCCTGTAATGCAATGGATAGCGCGTTGGACTTCTAACCTGAAGTTCGTGTGTTCGAATCCCATCTGCGATGGCGTAATTTCAGAGAATGTGATTTATTTTTGACTATAATATTTTATTAGAATAATTAAGCTTAATTTAATATATAAATAGCAAAAAAAATAGTTCAACACCATTAGCCCTCTCGCCATCATATAGTGGATTTGCTTGGCTATTCGCTCGTCACAGCTCCACTGTACTCTACATACATAAATAACCGATCAAATGTATGAGCTAACAACTTTGAGAGAAATTCGACTCATACATTGGATGCGTCAAAGTAATACAAAAAAAATCCACGTAGTTATGAACTGAAATAAATTAGGATTAAACGATATAAACAAGGTTAGTTACCGGTAAGGAATGGAAAGTAATAGACTTATTTTCTCAAAAGCTTTAAAACAAATTTTAAAAAAATTATTACATCAAATATCAGAGTTCAAATGTATTACAAGAGATAGTGATTAAGAGTCATCTGAAAATAATATATTTGTATGATTTCATGACGGTTTATGCATGATAAATGTAAGGCAATATGCTTTTCGTCATTTTCTTTAAGGTTTTTCATTTCCCACCATTAGTACACACTCTCCCTATATATATATATATATATATATATCGTTCAAATTTTCAATAATTAATAAAAACTTTTTATTCATTCACTCAAATTCAAATGCACATTTTAAACTTGTAGTGGATGACACTTGATGTTAATACAGTTTTTTCAAAGAAAATACATTTATTAATGAATAATTGGTAACAAATAAATAATAGTCCAATACCATATATAAAAAGAAAAATTGCTCGTTGTGCCCCCTATAGCACAAAAGGTAGCGCGTTGGACTTCTAATTCAAAGGTCGTGGATTCGAATCCCATTTCAATTGGCCTAATTACTGAGAATGTGATTTCTTTTTACTATACTACTTTAATAGAATAATTAAATTTAACTAATGAATAAATAGTAACAAACAAAAATAATATTTTAACACCATATATAGAAAGGAAAAGGGAAAATTGCAGGAAAAATACCTTTCTATCTTGCCACTTAAAATTGTTTCATGTTAATTCAAAAAGTTTTAATGATAAAACTTAAAAGATTTAATGTCAATTTCAAAGGTATTTTGCCACTTAATATTGTGATTTTGTCATATTTATATACATATTTATATTAATTGTAATTATTTAATAAAAAGTAACTAAAATAAAATTTTTCTTTGTTGACCTAAGTAGGAGATGACGTTTTATTTTGTATTACTTGTTTTTAAAAAAATTAATAAAATTTTATAAGTAAATTCATATTAAAAACTTAACAGTTATCAAGTGCAAATGTAGAGTATTTTAAAAAAAAGGAATCCTGCAAATGTGTATCTGAAATAAATTATTTATAACTAAAAATTACTCATTAAAGAGAAAATTTTTTTTGAATTATCTAAAAAATAGTATAAATACTGTATGATAGAAGAAATACACTCTGAACTGCGCAGAAAGTATTTATCCTTTTTTCAAGAACTGTCACTCATAAGTATCATTAAATATAAATTAAAAATAATGAAATATCATCACTAAAAACAAAAAATAACCATCAGTAACTTAGATTCTAAAAAAAGCAAATATGTATTGCTTTAAAATAAAAGTGAAAATAACTACTTCCACTTTTATTTTAAAGAAATACATATTTGTAACCAAATGACTCTTCGAAGAATGCTGAATCCTGTGACTAATCATAGGTGTCACAAAGTGAAGACAAATGCATCTTCAGTCTCGTCTCGGAGGTGCCACATAACTTACTTCAATAATGCTTTTGAGAAGGAGACGAGAAATAGGCGGATTCTCTGAGCACTGCAATCTATATCCTCTCGATGACCAATGGGATTTATTTTAATATTCGTCGGAAGTGTCATCCCCATGATCGCTTCAGCTAGATTAATGGTATCAATATCTTCAACTGTGCAACGGCATTGCCTATACATGAACCAACCGAGGCATTTGAAACAATGGAATGGGATTTTATCAATTTCTAAGAATTTTAAAATGTACTTGACTGATCTTTGAGCTTTAGAAAATGGTATATGAGAAAAAAGAGGACTCAAATGAGCTTAAAATGAATGATCGAAATGTGTCTCCAAGTTTTATTAAAGGTTTGGGAATATAAAGAAATTCTTATACATTTATATAGGTTTTAAAATTGAATGTCATATTATAAGGTAAATCGGGGAAATATACCATACTTAAGGAACTTTTGATTAGTACATTGAAAATAAAAGTTTGAGAATATAAAGAAATTCTTATACATTTATATAGGTTATAAAATTAAATTTCATATTGTAAGGTAAATCGGGGAAAGATGCCATATTTAAGGAATTTTCGATTAGTACGTTGAAAATTGAAATAACAAGACTTCGAATAAAATACGCCTTATTTTTCAATATTTAATTGTTTATGTATACAAGTTAATTTTTTTTGTTAGTATGAAAATAAATAAGAAATTTAATTTAAGTAAATTCATTTAATTGTGGCATCTTCTCACATATATGGGTGAAGATGCCACCAGTCATGGAGTAAAATGCAACAACAGTACAGTAAATGAAAAAAAAAATAAAACAAACATTACCAAATTAAATGTGAAGTAACAATAACTATAGAAAAAAAAACTAAATTCTTTCATAATTATTTTGTTAAAAATAATAACAGTACAGGTTCGAATGATAGCCTACACAACATTTCAGTCAGAGCAAATGATTATCATTGCATTCTTGCAACCATTTGTTGCATTCGATGTCCATAATCCAGTCACATTTGGGGCCTTTTTTAGCATAAAAGGACCCTTAACACACAGCACAAATTCGTCACTATTATCCTCATCAAAACTGTTGCCACTGGTATCTACGGAATTTCCATTTACCTTTAAAAATACAATATGGCGGTAGGAAATTACCTTCGGAAAATTGCACCATGCCACTACGGTTATAGTCTCTCCCATCTCCCCTGACGTGACGTAATGGATAATACGCGATTCTTCCTCCACAATAACTTTTCCACGTTCATTATTCATTTGAAGACCACACTCTTCTAAGTTATAGTTCTTCCTTGGATTTGTGCTAAAAACAAATTTTTATGCATTATGGTCTACAGCAGCTGAAGTAGTAGTCGACTTCAGCCCTGTTCCATCCTCACAGCATAATTATTAATTGTGGTTATTTTTATACAATATATAGTGTTATAAAATGAAAAAAAAAATAAGTTCATTTATTTCTGATTTATGTGTCATCTTCCCCCAGGTATAGGGGGCAGATACCACACACGCTTATTTCCTTATTGCTGCAGTGTTATGGTCGTTTCTACACGCATTGTATGTGTTACATAATGCGTAACTCTTTACATTGCTAGCATCTTATTTGAAATAATAAGTACGCTTATATGAACTTTAAATATGAGGAACGAAATATTATAAAAGCCGTACACACCACTTTAAATGCTCACAAGATCGAAAAATAGTATATATAGATTACCTAAGATAGAAATACAAAAATTAGTTTCCTTTAAACTGTTTCTGATAAAGTCCCTCCTTCATAAGTACGAATCAAAATATTAAGTAGGAAATTTCATTTCTATAACAATTTCGCATATATATATATATATATATATTTGCTTCCATAATTGAAATTAATTATAAAAGAACTGCGCGCATAAAGCATCTTCAATGATTTTCATTCAATATGCTGTTAAAACAGTACAGTAATAATCCGAACTTACGGAGGCGATAAATTCGTAAGTCAAATTCACATAAATCCTGTTATAATTTCGCAAATAAATACATAAAAATTATTTTTAGTTAGGGCTGCAGGCGAAAGAAAATAATAGCGAAGAAAATACAATTTTTTTACATTTACTTGATTATCACACGATAATTTTAACATAGATTCTATTTCAGCGATAATACCGAGACAATTACGAACGATGGTTGAATTTAAAGATTAAGCATTGTTCACATCGTCGAGAATTTTATCTTTACTTTTTATAACTGTCCTGACCATTGATTCCGTTAGATTAAATTTCCTTCCTAAGTCACAAATTCCTGTTTTTGTATCGAAGTCTTTAATAATATGTTAAGTTTACATTCCAAAGATAAAGTTTTCCTTTTCTTGGTTAGTATAGAAGAATCAGCTCACTTCATATAAATGACATAGCCGTCTCTCAAATCTGAGAGGATTCTGACATTTTATTCTTTAATTTTGTATCAGTTAATGTTTTTCAACCCATTTATTTGAAATGGTAATTTTCGGAAATATTTTAATTACTTTGTATTGGAATGCTTAAAATAACATCGCAGTTTCAATAAATCATTTCAACAATTTAACAAATGAATAATAATCTGATTTATTCTTATAAATGTGAAAATTTAGACTATTTTTTAGAAAAAATAATATTGAATATCATATTAGATTTATTAAAATAAAAAAAAATAATTAGAAAATAAAATTTATTAATTATGCCTATTACTAGTCTTCATTGATTTCCCGAAATATTAATAACTTAGTAGTAAGGAATAAAATAAATAAAGCATATTTGATTCTTGCCGTTTCTAAATAATTCAGTATATAACTAATTCACAGTATCAATATCTTAAAAAAAAATCTAATTCAAATAATTAGAAAATACGTGCACTTTCAACCAAGGGAATTCTACAGAATACAGATTTTGCGGATTTTGCTTTTCTCTTAAATTATCTCAATCACGTTCAATATTGAGTTTATTTCAAAAAAATAAAGTAATGAGTAGAGTAATTAACGGGCAAAAACTATAATTTCCGAGGTTCTTCATATCGGAAATAAATATAAACGTGGATAAAAAAAAAAGATTTTTAAGCAATAAAGATTTTGTTGCATTAATTTAATCACTCGAGAGAATTTCGAAAAAAAATTATTAAAGAAATGTATAAAAAATTTACAGAATTAAAAATTATAATTTTTGGATGTGCAGACGGGGACAACGAGTAAAATATAATTGAATATTTTAAAGTAAAACTATTCATCAAGCAATAATTCTAGAAAGTTTTTATTGAAGTATTTTTTTCGTGAAATGTAAAAGAAAATATAACTTTTTTTTGCTTGTATGCTTTTATTTATGTATCAATATTTTTTAAATAGAAAAAGTTCTCAGGATTTACCATTAATATTATTAAATACTAGTTTTGATTTTAAAAACATTAATTATTCGCTTAGAATTTCTGTTTTTAAAATGTTTAAGCCAATATCTTCCAGATAAATTCATTTTTCAGATGTTATAAATATTTGATATGCTTATATATGTAATAAGAATATTTACATAAAATTCTAATCTTAAACATTTTTTCCCTAAATCATAATTCCGAATATCCTGTTTTGAAACAACACGTCTCATTTACTGTCGCTTTAAAGGACCTATATTATTTATATATAAACAATTCCACGTAAAACTCGATCAATACACGAAAATATGGCGGACCTCCAAAAATCAAGTCTCAATTTTAACTCCTTAGAGGGGTGAAATTTTTTCAGACCCCATAGGTTTAACATGAGAGCATGATATTTTAGTGCTTAAGACCTCCCTATGCCTACCTAATGGGAGTCAAGTATATGACTGGATGAGTTTTGAAGAGTGGAACATTTGGTTCAAATCTCAAGTGAGACTCACATAGGAGCCAAGATATTGTGAATTTAAATAAATTTAAAAAATTTAAAAAAACTTTAATACAGTTAAAAACTATATAAGGAATATATAGCCCTATGAGCATGAAATTATAAAAAGTGGAAGAGCAATTAGAGAGGGATTTAATGAACCAGGTCCGAATGGACTGTGAGGCTCGGGTGTCGAAATATTGGCCAAAATGCTGTAGAGGGGG